TGTAGAGGGAGAGGCGTTCTGAGTTTGGGTATTCTCGGCCTTTTTAGGCTGTTTTCTTCCCTTCGTTATAGATTTATCCATCTGTGGTCTTTATAATTGCCGTCTTTATAGTTGGGTTTCTGAATGGACGTCCAACTTGTTGATTCCCGGCGCTAGAATCTGAGCAACCCACTGCTCCGGCCAAAACAGCAGCTTTAAGATTGATGGTGCTTTTCTGACTGCACCAAGAACCGCCACACCAAGGCAGCGGCAAAACCGCCTCACCGGCCTCAAGAGTCACGCTGGTGACATGTGGGGCTCCTCCGCTGGGAATCTCCTGGTGTGTGAGCAACAAAAATTGATCTGAAAGTGTGGCGTCCTCTCGTTCTCTGCTCTTTCAGTGGGAGCTGCAATCCCGAGCTGCTAGTGATCAGCCATCTTGGATCAACAATTCTATTTTAAGACCAAATGATACTTTTTAATCCTTTGATGTATGTAACAGACCTTTATTCTTCTTTCACTAACCTGAAGTCCTCTTTGCATTAAATTTGACATGTCAGAGTTGATCAACAATGATGAAAGAGTAAGATTAACACTGTAAATGGAATGTTCCAGGGGAAGATAGAATGAATCATAGTGCAGGCTCTCATTATCATCCACAGATGTTACAGTTTTCTAAAGGCTCTCTCTGCCCACAGTCTCCCTCCCCTGTCTTAGTCCCTAATCCAAGCTTCATTCTACTTAGGAAAGAGTACAGTTCTTCAAAAAAGAAAGTTGGGAAGACTAAGTAAATTGAATCTTTTTCCCCCATCTGAATAATTTACAGTAGCTACTTAATACCCATAGGGAAAAGACCAGTGTCTTAAGTCATCCACAATTTGCGTCAAACTAACATTCCAGACTAGTTTCTCACTCTTCTACTGTCACTCTTACAAATCTTATCTGTAGGCATACAGACCACTCAATGGTTGCTACTTTATAAACTTATAATCCACTTTCATTTCTCTTTGAAGAACTGGCTTTGGTTTATGGAGTCCTCCCTCCCAAAATGTTTCCTTCTTACCCTCTACCTATTGAAATGTTTCCCACCTGTAGGGTGTAGTTGAAAGACCCTCTCTCATTCTACTTTCCCCGATAGTATGCCTCCTTTATAGAGTCCTCCCTCCCAAAATATTTCCTTCTTACCCTCTACCTACTGAAATGTTTCCCATCTGCAGGGTG